CTTTCACCACAATTAAAACCCACGTTACGATCGAAAAGCCGATCAATAACCAAATGGTTGCATCATGAATAATCGTATTAATATCAGACATATCGAATTTTCCTAAGATAAAATTTTACAGTTTAATTGGGTAATTTGAAGTGAATCGGAACATCGACCCAGCCTTCTATCGGGGTATTGCCACGCATTGCAGGCGAGAATTTCCAACGCTTCACAGTTTTGACAGCAGCATCATCCAGTGCTTTTTTACCGCTGCTATTTTTCAGGTTGATTTCTAAAGGACTGCCTGTGGGTGAGACTTTCACACGTAACATCACAACGCCTTCCCAACCTCGGTCTAATGCCACTTCTGGGTATTCAGGGGCAGGATTACTCAAATAACCGGCATAACCTTTGGCTGCCGTGACGGGCAAGTTTTCTTGAGCAGGCTTACTCACAGCTTCAGCGACTTTTTGGGTCGGTGCGACATTTTCTGTAGGTTCAGCCTGTGGTACAGCTTGAGGCGTTGATTTAGCGACTGGTCTAGGTTGCTCAATTGGCTTCTGCTCGACAGGCTTCTGAATGGATTTTTCAACCACAGGTTTTTGTACAGGTTGAGGCTTTGCTGAAACAGGAGGAATAATCGGTTTTTGTATTTCCTGTTTAAGTTTGGGTTCAATCACCTTAGGTGGCTCTTCCTTGGGTTTTTCAATTACAACCGCGATTGGTTCAGGCTTTTTCACCACTAACGGCGGTGTTGGAAGATGCTCTGCAAGATAAAAAATGCTGTAATGCAATGCTAGAACAGCACCAATTGCCCAAAAGATCTTATGGGTTTGAACGGGTTTTTCTGCTGCGATCGGACTTGCCAAATGGGCAACAAATGGATCTGCAGCTGGAAATACATTGGACTGAACATTTTGAAGTTGTTCAAACAAAATTGCCTTTTTATAAGGACTTCGACTGACTTCACTCATATCAGTAAGGCACCATTCAATAAGATTTAATTTTCATTGCAGAATATTTTTTATTTCACCAATTAAATTGGTTTAATTTGAATAATAAAATATTCTTTCAATTTTAAGTTTTTTATTAATTCACAGGTGAGTGAATTAATTTGGTTAAATAAAACATTGAAAGCATAATGAGTGATTTTTGAAAAATATAGAAAGAATTTTTTTAGATTAGTATTTTTATAAAAAATGATAAAAGATAGATTTTTTTATTTCTTATAACAATTAAATATAATCTATTTTGTATTGATGATATCTACTTATAAAGTTGAAATTACGAAATATCTATTTTTAG